GAATTTGATCTCCTGAGAACAAAAGTGGCATTTGTCAGGTTTAATTCTTAAATTGGCATTTCTAATTCTATCAAAAGTGATTTGTAGATGTTGTAAATGTTCTTCAAAAGTTCTGGAATAGATATTAAGATCGTCCATATATATTTTGATGAAATGCCGCTTCTTCTTTTGAAATATTGTATCCATAGTTCACTGAAAAGTTGCCGGTGCATTGCATAATCCAAAAGGCATTACGACAAATTCATATAAACCTTCACTAGTGATGAAAGCTGTCTTTTCAACATCTTCTAGTCTTATTTTAATTTGCCAAAATCCTGAAAACAAATCTAGTGAACTGAACCAACATGATTCTTGTAATGAGTCCAGTAATTCATCAATCCTAGAAAGAGGGTAATTATCCTTTTTAGTAATGCTGTTAAGATCCTTATAATTTACACACATTCTCATTTGGCCATTTTTCTTTTTAACTAAAACTATTGGTGCTGACCAAGGGCTACTAGATGGTTGTATTACTCCTTGTTGTATCATTTCCTCAATTTCAGCAGCGATCCATTCTTTCTCTTTTGGTGATGTTGAGTAAGCTCTCTTTTTTATTGGATGAACATTTTCAGTAATAATAGAATGCTGAGCAACATTTGTTTGAGTCAATTCAGATTTGTCATTAGCAAAGAGATCTTTGTTTTTTGTGAGTAGTTGTTGAAGTTGCATCCTTTGTACATTCGTTAGACTTCCAATTGGTACATCTTTTCCTTTTGTTATTTCTATTAATTCATCGTCTTCCTCTATTTGGACTTTAGCAACTCAATAATCTTTAAGATCTTCATATAATTTTTGACAAAATGAACACTTTTCATTATTCTGTAATGGTTTACAAAGACATTGTCCTGGTCCCTTCCAATATTTATCAATTCTCTAGAATTCAAGATCGCTAAATTCCAAAAATTCGGTTGGATATCGTTGATGATTAATGATAGCTATATTTTTTTCTAAAGATACATTTAGATAATGCTGAGGTTCTCCTTCTGTATCTTCAAGTTCTAATTCCTCATATTCTTCCTCAAAGAAATCTATTGGTGATAAAATTTCAGGATTTATTTTTGTAAAACAGGTGATTGGAACAGTGTCACTTTCTTTATTCTGCTTTATTATCATGATTTGTTTCTCAGTATTGATAATTGCTTTTGCTTGGTTGGTGATCCAATCATTTCCAAGTAAAACATTATATCCTGACGCTTCTGTTACAATCATATCTTCTTTAATTTCAAATTTTTCTATTTTAATGCCAACTTTGAACATTTTTCTTAATAGTGCAGTTTTCGCTCCAGTAACACTAACAATTTGGACATTGGTAGAAGCTTCTATTTCTTTGTTTACTGAGTCTAGAAAACTTTTAGTGATGATACATCCAACAGCTCCTGTGTCAATCATCACATTAATTCTTTTTCCAAAAACTTCAGCTTTAGCAAAATAAGCGTCCTGTGGTTTTCGTTCTTCCCATTGAGCTTGAGCAATAGTCGTTATAGTCGTTGATATTTTTAAGCTTTCCAAGATTTTTTGCATATACTTAATATGTGTTGGTGTTATCTCATTTCTTTTACATTTATCCTCATATTGTTTAAAGATATTGAGGATCCATGAGCTTTGTTTATTAGGCTCAGTATTTCTAAGTGTAGTATTCATGCTTACTTTGGTAATATAT